GGACGATTCGGATAGGAAAACAAATGCACGGTGGAACAAAATTTCAACAGTGAGCAATGGAATGGGCAAAATTACTAATGTCATGTCCGAAATCAACCAATCAAATGACTGGGATCTATTTAAATGCTTTATAATATTTACTGTGGAACAGGTAAAGTGAAAGCGAGTCTATTGCACAAAAAAGACAGGGATGTGATGGAAGCGAAGTGTGTGATCTCTCAGTGGAATGGTTTAAAGCGCTGTCCATACAGCTGTCTCTTATACACATCTAGATGTGTATAAGAGACAGGTGTGGGTGTGTGTATGTATCTGAAGAGTGTCACACCATGTGTGTGGTACAAAACAGAGTAGTAATAAAGTGATTAATCAAATCATAATTTTAGTTTATTTACGTAGAATCAGTTATAGAATTAGAACACAGTTAAAGCAATAATTTCTACAAATTATGATGAACATTTTTATGATGATGATGAAGATGGTGTGTGTGTGTATATTTTTTCCGAGGCCCTTCCTTTATCCTTAAGATCTCAGGAAAGGCATATAACGCACAAAATAGGCCTAATTAACTAATTAAAGTTTATTGTTGTCCTGTATGTAGTCTGGTAGTACTAACGTAACGTGTTTTTTATATTTTTTTATTTAATCACGCTTTGAATTACTACGTTTCCTTTGTAGAAAAGCAAGTGAATGCTCGTGTAGTGTTACTGAATCATGCAATTCGCTACCGGCTTCACATGGCAACAGTTCTACTAGCAGTCGTATGTCTTTAATATTACCTGGACAAATTAAGTGTTGTCATTGTCGTCTAAGAGAGTTTCAGGAATAAGGTGACATTGTGTATTGATTATTATTATTATTATTATTATTATTATTATTATTATTATTATTATTATTATTATTATATAATTATAATAATTATTACTATTAGTATAGTATTATTATTATTATTATCATTATTATTACTATTAATACTAATTATCGTATTTTCAGAAGCTTTCGACTGACAGGAAAGAGTTCACAATTTAAATGATGAGAAGTAAACATAAATGATGCTGCATGTCCTCGAAAGTTTTAAAGAACAGAATCAAGGATTTAACACACAAAAAAATTTATTTTAGAAATACAGTATATTAAAATATTTTCACTATAATGTTGTTGTAGGTCTGCATTTTATGTATTGCTTGGTGAATAATGTTTGATTAAATTGATTTCAAAGCCCACCAGAAGGGCAGGAATGTTGGTGGCGACAGATTATAATGACGATGATGATGATGATGATGATGATGATGATGATGATGTAGATGATGATGATGATGATGATGATGATGGTGGTGGTGATGATGATTTTTATGATGAGGCCTAGAAAATAAATTATTTGTTTGCCCTCCTCACCTCCTGATGGAAAAAATAAGGGCGGTAAAACAAGAAAACTTAAAACAAGTTTTTAGCTTTTTTCTTTATAAATTATTTTTAAAAAATGTGAGTGAATTGATATTTATTTTTTGGCAGATGCCCTACAAAGTTGTCTAAATTCGTTGTCTGATGTAAGATATTGCTATTCTAGGCCTGCATTAAATGCAACATGTCAACTATGGGTTATGTTTATTCCATCTGATAAGTAATCTTGAAAAAAAAAACAAAAAACAAAAAACTTTTTTCCACCCGCTGCTTTTTATCATTTAAAAAAACATAAGGTCAAACAAACAATTTATTTGTTTAGGTCTGATGATGATGGTGATCATGATTTGGATGACCGGCTTTCATGCATTTGAAGCTTTGTTTATTAGCTCAGGAAATGAAGTGTTTCTGTTTATTTAGAGGTGAATGAGATTTACCGGGGAATTTCAAAGTTGTTTGGACTTTTAATCTTGGTATACTGGTGGGAAATGTTTTTCATTACGACGCATGAATGCGCCGAATGCTAAAAATGGCTCAATTATTAAATGCGGCGAATGTTAAAAGAGAAAACTAATGGTAAAAGTGCGGAATAGAAATACGCCTAAAAGAGCCGAACGTAACGATAGGAAAGTGCTGAATTATATAGTGCCGAATACTTAAAGAGTGAACGTATAAAATCATGGGCTTAATTAAAATGGCCTGGAATGAAAATGTGCTACGGATCGCAGGAGATACATCGATAGAAGTTATGCGGCACCATCGAAGAATTATGAATATCAATTGGTAGCATCATGTAACGAAATTGAAGAGAGCAGGCCTCAACTGTGCTCATGACCTCCTTATCCAGAGAAATCAGCGATTGGCTGGACATGCTGGCAGGCTCGATAATAGACGCTTCCAAAACAAATTTTATTAACTGAGCTTACAGGCGGCTTTCGAAGAGGGAGACCCAACGAACCTTCGGTACAAGGATATCGAGGAGAATTTTAAAGGACCTGTCCATACAGGGGCGGCGCTAAAAACACTCCGCCACTGGTTTTTAGAGCAAACATTATTTAATGTTCTATTTTCAAATGTTCTGTAGTCTATGAAAAATGTTGATGACCTAACGATGAATATCAACTTTGATATGTTAAGAAAACTGATACTTCTAGTGAAGGCCTATTAGAGAAAAGATGAGTTTTGTACGTGGCGAGTTATTGACACGCAACGTCGGGGAAAAACTACTCAAAAAGCTTACAAGTCAGTAAAAAGGCCTTACAGTAGGCCTACTTGTGCGACAAAAATAGAGACAGTCATAGTAGTTGGAAACTGCTCTGATTGGTCAAGCATTTTTGGTGGATGGATTTCTGGAGCATATGAGAGTACGTGTCTTGAATTTTCCACGCCGGGAAATGTGGAACTTTTGTAATTTGAGGTGGGGGAGGGGGTACGTACCCACCCTCTCCCCTGCTTACGGGCCTGAGTTAGATGGAGGATTTTGATTCATAGAAAATCAGTCATGTCGAAGAAGACGGAATTGAATGAATGGAAATACGCTAAATCAAAAGTCACCTTTGAAGGCAATGTTGGCGCGCCATACAAGAATGCTGTGTTGCGTTTGGGCTACGTACATTACTGGCATAGGGCCTATTCAATTTTTTCAAAAAAGTTTTATTTTCAACTTGAAAGTTAGAAATAAGATCTACTTTTAAATAATAATGACGGTCATCCGAGAAATTGCAATTGTTTAGTTATGTAGTTTGAAGACGATTCGATTCTGATTTTAAACTGTACATCATTTGGTGTGACAATAAGAATAATAGAATTGCCCAAACAGGAAGTAACGAGAAACCTTCAGTCGCCAAAAAATCGAGTGAACTGACGCAAACATTTTTGGTGTTTCTAACCTACCAAAACCTCTATAAATTGCATATGGTTATACTTTTACTTACATTTGGTGATATTTTATTATTGAGGTATGTGTTATAATTTACAAAATTACTGATTTTAGTTAGAAATTTGGCTACAAAATATGGGTAATCATGGCCGAGGCCTACCTAGCTAGGACTAGGCCTAGGTACATACTACAGCAATAGGCTAATCTAGGCCTATTCTAGAGAGAGGCTTATACTGATGATGGGTCTAGGCCTAGGCTACATGCCAATGTTTTGAAAGTAAAAAACGGGAGAAGGCGTTTGTATGGTGGGGAGTGGTATATTGAGGGGGTGTCCCCATTCCATGGGGTGTAACCACTGAAAGCTTTAGCTATTTAATGTATTATTTATATAAAAAGGGAAATCTCATAATTTTAATGGTGTATTCCAATGATTTAAGTATTGATTTTTACTTGTGTGTTTGATTGAGTCACATCAGGGTGGATGTATCGTGTAGGGCTATGGATCAATTTTTCATTTACTGGCTTTTTCAGTACAAGATACAAAACCTGGAATCAATACTGATGTGTTTTCAATGGGCTTAAATTAATACAGATAATTACTGGGCCAGTAGTATTTTAGCAACTGTAACTTTATGTCCAATTATTCATTGTAGGATCTGGTTCAGCTATGTCAAATTGATAATAATCATGACTAGAATACTTGTATAAAGAATAGTGAACCTTCATTTAAAAATTATTTCAGACAGACCGTCGCCTCGCTAAGAGGCTCATCGTCTTGGCTTCCATCGTCAACAAACAGAATTTAATTTTATGTTACTCCGTGGCATACATGGATAATACTTGGATATATGGATGAATTAAAAAATAATGATAAAAAAAATAAAGAATTTACTTTCTCCGTGATAAAGCCTACCAGCTCTGATTAGTTACGGTATCTGTCCGTTAATAGCGCAGAAGAGTTGTTGTAATCATGATCCAGCGTCTACAAGGCCAGCGTGACTTTGCAGCACTCACATCCACATCTCTCGCACCACTCCCAGAGAAACGATGCTGTTGCCGAGCAAAATATTGAAAGATAACGTACTGTAAATATTAAGGTTTTTTTCATATTATTTTATTGAAAAAAACACAATACAATTAATGTAGTACATGCAGTTTTCTTTGTAAACTGGGGGAGCCTATGAAAAAAGGGAAAAAAAAAGTTGGCAGGGAGCCAGGTCACCAAAACCGGCGTCTCCTGGCCAAAACGGGAGTGTTGGCATGTCTGTACCACTAGATCTTTTCTACTACTACTATGGACCCAAGAGGGTGCAGGTCAACTCGGCCACAAGTCAACTCGGCCACAGTCAACTCTGCCACAAGTCAACTCGGCCACAAGTCAACTCGGCCACAAGTCAACTCGGCCACAAATCAACTCGGCCACAAAAAGTTCGGCCACAGCCACTCAGCTAGGCTAGATTGAGTAGGCCTCTAGGCCGGGTGCAGGTCAACTCGGCCACAAGTCAACTCGGCCACAAATCAACTCGGCTGTTTCGTGGCGATATTCAGTTAGGCAATAAGAGGAGACTCAATCATATAATAACTATTCAGATGAGTATTTATTGTGAGTACTATTCGTGTGCTATAGGATTATGCTGTATCCACCATCTAGATGTGTATAAGAGACGTATCCACGTTGGAGAGAAAGTGTATAGCGCCCTCAGGCGTAACAATCACGCAACATCTTCCCTTCTTTAATTGAGAAGCTTCTTTGTGCATAATAACAGTTCCGTTAATATAAGCTTATAGATTTTCTTGGTACAGTATTATTATTAAAGGATATGGTTCAAATGGTTAAACTTACATATATAATATGAGCATAAATTATTGTTCTAAAATTATTCATTATGTCTTCCTTTTTTTTTTTTTTTCTAAACTGTGATTCAGTATTTATGGATATTAATTCTACCATTTGATGCATTCATGAATCATTATTCCTTTAGGGTTAGTTGTACAGTATATCATATATTTAGATATAGACCTGTTGCAACATGTAGAGCGTATAAATCATAGTCCAATCAAATGATAATGATTGTTACTCAGTTACCAGGGATATTCATATCGGTACCATCAAATATTGATGCTAATTGTCAAACAAGTGTTCATTAGTAATCAGTGTCAAATAAATGTTCATCAATAATCAGTGTCAAACAAATGTTCATTAATAATCAGTGTCAAACA